ACAGGGAGGGGCAAGGGCCAATGTAGCCAGTGTGTGGGGACAGCAGCAGACTGGTAGGGCCATGCCTGGGTCAGGGGTGTTTGTTCCTGGGTCATCATCCTCACCCAGTACATTTGGGTTTTCTCTTGTAGAAATAGCTGCACACGTCGCAAGCAAGGGCCCAATCACAGTTACCCTGAACTCAGCTGTCATGAAGGTACGTGCCACCCAATTAGCAATGCAGGAGAAGCCCTCTGGCTATTCAGCCCATCCCATGGTGACTCGCCCACTAAGCCCCCCGACTCGACTCAGTTTCCGCTCAATTTTGTGCCTCTGCAGCATTATAAAAAGGGAATCTCCCAGCCCTTGGTGAAGAGCTGTAGTCCAGACCATGTGGATCATGTTGTCCTGCTGGTTGGCTATGGGCATGGTGAGTGGGGATGGGCGGTGCAGGGGTTTGGATTTGGGTGAGATGGGGTTAAATGAACTGGGGTCTTGGCAGGGGACTCAGCTGTCAGAAGCACTCTCTGACCACTGTGCCTTTCTCTTCACTAATTCATTGCAGTGATGGATAGGCGGTACTGGGTCATCAAGAACTCCTGGGGGGAAGACTGGGGAGAGAAGGTGAGTGGGGAGTGTATGGGGCTGCCCTCAGGCAGTGCTGTCTGTGTGGGTGTGGCTGATTTTGTCTGAAGGAGGCTGTGCTGTGGGATCCTACAGAGATGGCCTCTGGGTGGGGTGCAGGGACTGTTTATACAGGATCCCCTGCCTAACGCTAAGACACAGCCCCCACTGGGGTGAGGTGTGGGCTTTCATTATACCAGGGGTGGCCAACCTGAGCCTGAGAAGGAGCAAGAATTTATCAATATACATTGCCAAAGAGCCACAGTAATATGTCAGCAGCCCCCCCATCAGCTCCCCCACCCATTCCCAGTGCCTCCCACCCACCAGCAGCCCTATTGATCAGCGCCTCCCCCTCCCTCCATGCACCTCCTGATCAGCTGTTTCATGCCGTGCAGGAGGCTGGGGCGGGGGGGAGGGGAGGAGAAGAGCGAGGGCACGGCCGGCTCAGGCAAAGGGGTGGAATGGGGGCAGGGCTGGTGGCAGAGCCAGGGGTTGAGCAGTGAGCGCCCCCGGCACATTGGAAAGTCGGTGCCTATACAAGGAGCCGCATATTAACTTCTGAAGAGCCGCATGTGGCTCCAGAGCTGCAGGTTGGCCACCCCTGTATTATACACTCCCTGTCCAGGTTCAGATCCTGTTCCAGTTTGACGCAAAGGCGGAGTGAGGTATGTCTACACTTAAACCACTACCACGACACAGCTGCACCGTCACCTCCACTGGTGGCAGCAGTTCTCCTGTTACTGAACTTCATCCACCTCCCTGAGAGGCGGGAGAACTCTTCCATCCACCTAGCGCAGGCTACTGCAGGGGCCGGGCGGCACTGCTACGTCTCTCGGGGTGTGTGGATTTTATGTAAGTTCCCGGCGTAGAGCAGCCCTGGGTAAGGAAAGGCTGTCCAGTACCATCTGTCCCTAACCGCGTGTCCCCTCGGCAGGGCTATTACCGTCTCTATCGTGGCAGGAACGCCTGCGGCATCACTACGTTCCCTGTAACAGCCACCGTCAACCGCGTTGGGGCTCCGGGACATAACGTCCACTGCCCGCCCTGAAGGGGGTGCTGCTGCTGCAGAGAGCCTGCTGACTCCCTGCCAAGACCCCTGCCACCACCAAGACAGAACTAACTGGGGCCACGGGCCTTCCCTGGGTGATGCGGGGAATGAATTCGATACTCAGAGTGCTCTAGCTCCATCCCCACAGGTACCCAGAGCTGGGCTCGGCCCTTCCAGCAACACTGCCTCCGTGCGAATGCTCCTTCCCTTTGCTGCAGCAGCGAAAGGGGCCAGTGAAACTGCCATTAAACTGCTTTTATGTGCTGTGTGTGTGGCCCCTTTGATGGGGAGAGGTTGTTTAATTGTTAACTTGAGTGTACCACCCGACTCCCCCCAGGCTACGCACTCCACACACCAGCACCCTCGGTACAGCAACGGTGCTGGCTTTATTGAGATGCTACGATCACAGCTAAGGGGGTTTCCAGGTGCTGCCCCCAGGGCCATGATGGGGGAGAAACACCCCTTTCCCCAGCAGCTCTTAATTCCAGCCTGGGCATAAGACCTCCCCCCACCACCTCTGATGTAAGGAGCTGGCCTGATCCCAGACAAAGCAGCTGGGTCTGCACCCCAGGTGGCGGTTTGGGGGGGGGGCAGCAGCCCTGACACCCCCCTCTACATGGTCCCATGTCAGCAATGTGCACCCTGGGGGCAGCTAGTGGTTCACTGCACAGCAGGGGGCCTCGGCTCCCAGTCCTGGCTCTGATCCAGTGAGGGCTCCTATGGGATCTATTGCAGCTCTGGTCTCTATTGTCCCCCAGAGGCGGTTCAGGCAGCAACCAGGCCCTCACTCACTGGCATGTTGATATGGGCAGTCAGCAAGGGCATGCTCTGGCCCTCCCGCAATACAAACACCTGCAAGAGAGAAGACAGAGCGCCCAGCACTGAGATGCAGCCACCTGTGGGGTGGAGTGCAGAGCCTCCTTATACATGGATCCCTCCCTTGGCCCTGAGATGCAGCCAC